GACAAAGGCGACAATGAAAGCTGTCACAAAGGTCGATACGCCCTGGATTATGAGCGAAAGTTTCTCGGAAATACCGTTGTTGACATTGTTTCCATTGCTGGTGGCTTGCGTTGTGACCGAGGCGGCCTCATCTGAATCAAAGTAGGCGATATTTTGGCGAATGACGTGTTTGAGGAAGTCTATGCGCACAGCCTTTGTGGTACGTATTGCGGCTATTGATATAAAAGTCTGGCAAGATTAGCATCAAGATATTGAATCGCTGGTGGACTCTGCATACCGAGTGGATATAGACGAGACTGAATTTTGCAATGAAGAGATATACAAAGTACAGCGTGAACTTGTTCACTTCAGAACGATATTGAGCTGGTGTGATAGTGCCAGTGGCAAACCCAGTGAACGTGGACACGAATCTGGAATGTCAGTGAAGTCCTCGGCGTTGTTTTTGTATACAAAGACTCACTTTCCGAAGACTAGGTCCCTGAAGAGAAAATTAGTGTTTATGTGAACCAAGCAGTACGGACTCGCCTACATGAGTGGTAGTAGTGTTCCAGCGGCAATGGCAGCGACGGCCGCAATGACGTTCAGAATCCAACTGGTGCGATCCGCATACCGGAAGATGCGCTGGAACAAGGTCAATCCTAGATGCAATTCAGGTGTCGCCCGTGTTTGGACTTACGACATAGCCACCCATACCGCCATCGGCCTTCTTCGGCGCAACATCGCTTTTGCCGTCAGAAGCTGCGTCTCTTTTGGCATCATCAGTTGTTTGCGCGTCAGATTTGAGTGGCGGGGCTTGATGCCCCTCTGGCGACATATTTGAAATAAGAGTTGATGTAGTTCATCGTGAGCAGGCAGCAGCGGAAATCTAACGCCTTTTTATCGCGATCGGCCAAGACTACTCCTATAATTTTTACGTTACGTAGGGCTGTTCTAAGTGGCTAGGTAGTCTCCAAGATGAGCTGAATCGCGCTAGGGGTTGACTGCGCTCTTTGCGAACAAGGATACTCGGATGCAAACTGCCCGTAATACTAAAACAGGGTAACTAAGATTAATGATATAAAAGTATTCGCTGGCATTGTAAGATAACACGATCTAGTACTATATCAAGCAAATGGGAATCTACATATGAAATGTAGTACTCTTGTAGGCATGGACAACTCGTACGTGGTGGTATAGGCGGCTTATGTGAGCAATGGTATTGTCTTGACAGGGTTAGTTTTTATTCCAGTATTGTTGATTACTTACGGGCATGCACGCTAATAACAGGCGGAGTCTTGGCATAGTCACGTGGCATCCACACTTTCCTTCGTTATTCATCTGATGTATTTAGGAACGCAACACAAATATATGGGGCTGCATTGAAAGGAGAAACTTGATTTTTAAAGAAAACTCGATTGATGTCTTGAGAATATGTGATTTCCGCCGATAGTAATGACATCGTTGATGACTACCCCCCGTTGTCGGCGCCCGAGGACTCCGTTGCCCGAACTCTCGACATTACTACACCCACTCTCGCACTCCACGCGTTGCCACACTGCGGCCTAAACCGACCCGTAACCGACGCTATGGAAGACGACGACATGGATGAGTCGCCCGATCGGGGCATGTCTAAGCGCGCAGTAAGTCGAGACAGCCCCAGTGCTTGGCCTGTGGCTGCATAGAGTGATCCAGCCACTAACAATTCCTAAACAGTGCGATAGCTGTCGCACGCGTAAGATACGCTGTGACCGTGCCGTACCTTGCTCTAACTGCAAGGCAAGCAAACTAGGTAAGAGATCTTGCGTCTATGACATACATAATGGGCTATTGCTTATTGGAAGCAGCTTGCAAAACGACTGCTCCCCAACAGAAAGCTCAACGCCAAAGAGTCCACATTTCTGAGCAATAGTACGTATTTCAGATGTTAAATTGTTACCACCACTGGCATATGCACACCTTAAAATACGTTTCTATCACGCCGAGACACGCCTAGCTATACGCCGTTTCGGGGCATATCGATAGCAGGCAAATACCCCGAGCATAATTCACACATTGGTGCCGAGATTTGGATGATGACAAGAGCCCTTAATGCTGACATCTCCTAGTGAAAGGAAGATTGACCGAATAGAAGATCGATTAGCAGGAATCGAGAATGTTCTTGCTAACCTTTCGTCAAAACTCGGCAATATGGATCTTGCTAAAGACAGCCCCGAAACAGGCAGTCAGTCACGTTCGAGTCGAGTAGGAAGAAGTCCAGGTAGTGGCTTACAGGAAGCCCCTACACCGGCGCCATTCGAGGGCGAAAGCTCAATCAGCATTCAATCCGTCTATGCTCGTGAGATGCTAGCTCAGGTAATTGACAGCACGCCGTCAATTGGCCAGAATGAAGAAGTCAAGATGGCACTTACTGCTCTTTCCGAGATGGTATCGCAACCAAGCCAGACTATGGCTCCAAGCAACCGATTGATCAATCGCTCCCTTGCCGAAGTGGATCCCACTAGACTTGAGCAGCCTCCATGGGTGGAGGTCTGCAATGCGTTGGACACAGCTATGAGTTGAGTTTAAGCCTACCTTGAATTTTGAATGTTACTGATTCTACTAGAGTATTCAACAATGACATTTGCCGTGATCTTTCCGTTCCTCAAGATGCCAAACCTGAGGGAAATTTTCGATGACGCGTACCACAACCCTGGCACCTGTAGCGCTGCTCGACGCGTGCTTACCTATGGCATTTTGGAGAACATATTTTACGAATTCCAGGCATTTCCTCTAGCAGGCATGGACATCAGCCAGTACGCAACATATGCGGCCATATGTAAGCGACAAACAGAGGTGGCCCTAAGCCAGCTCGACCTATTCATACCGGCAAGTTATGAAAATATTATGGCCTTGGTCCTTGGAGCAGCGCAAGCAATCGAAATGTGTAAGCCTTCTCTCTGCTGGATCCTGATATCTTGTGCAGCAGGCTTGTGCACAAGTTTGGGATATCACCGTATCAATACCATGGCTCACGACACACTTGAAGAAAAAGAGTCGAAGATCTACATTTTCTGGATGATATACATGTTTGACAAGACACTCTCGCTACGGTTGGGCAAGTCAAGTGTCCTTCAGGATTGGGATATCGCTTTGCCTTTCGTCCATGAGAGTGATCCTAATGATCCACCTGCCCAACGGACTCGTATGCTATCCTACTGGGTCAAGGTCGCTAGGGTACAGGGCTTGACATATGAAAAGCTATTCTGCCCAGCCTCCTTCCTGCAGTCCACAGAGGAGCGAACGGCAGTCGCAACGGACCTGATCAATGCCATGAACCAAGCGTGGGTCGAGCGTGACGACGTCAAAGCCGTTAATCGAGCAAACTTTGGAAAAAATATGAACAATGTTGCGCAACGACCGACCGGAGTGGGTCACAGCCCAAACAAGACTCCACTCCCATCCCAGTTGAAGCGGTACATATCTCAACCGCTCAATAAGGAGTCTGATGTCAACGAGTACATCCAAGGTATGTGACGAGGAATATTCAGGTACAGTTAGTTAGACTAACCATGGAAGGTGCACTTGATCGTGTTGAGGACATTTTGTTCTACTCTGACGTAGTTTCACATTACTCGACGTGTGCGCTCATACAGCGCTCAGTCAGTCCGGGAAACATGACCTTCAATCAAGATTGCTTGCAGTCATCCCGATCAGCTCTCGACGCTCACAAAAGGGCCTCCATACAGTTCAACAAGAAGGGCCAGGAGGAACTGTGGTCGGGATACGTGCACTGGTCCATCCTCCAGGCGCCGTTTACACCGTACGCTGCTTTTATGACCGCTTTATTGTCTCAGCTAATCAATATAGGTTCATTGTCATTTTCTGTAACGCCATTCAAAAGGCGGATACATCCGATGTTAGCGCCGACCTCCAATCTCTCTCAGAGTTTGTCACGAGCCTCGAATCTTGTCGTACAATCTCTGAAGGCGCAGACAAGCTCTATAGAATGTGTCATCTCTTCTTGCGAGTGGCAAGACTCTACGTAACGGCCAAGACCCAGGACGCTGCTTTGAGATCGCGCACCGCCGCGCAAAACCATCAGAATTACTACACAGCAAACGGCGCACAACTTGACCTCAATGCCATGTCGCAGTTTGATCCATATTTAAACGCACTTGGTCTACTTCCTGACACAGCATGGTCAGCAGATCAATACAACATGAATCCTGCTGGTCCCGGTGGCATGCAAACTTTCCCGCCGGATCAGCAAATGGGAAATAACTTCAATCCAGGACAAATGAGTCTAGGGTTTGGGCCATCGGGTGGGACTCACAACTCGATGCAGGATTGGTTTTCTGGGTCTATCTATCTTATGAACCTGATGGAGCCGGGTGATGATATGCAGATGCCAGATATGGATTTATGAAAAGTTGATTTAGCGATTAATGAAGGTTATTTTAGAGAAGCTTGAAGTATTTGTGAATGAGGAGGTGATTGCAGGAGGTGTCTTTGGAGTGATACAGCTAACTAATGACCACTATAGCAAACACCCGTTGTCTGACTCTTTCGCAAAAACAAAACCCCCCAATCCATGTATCTTCTCCTTTAACCTCTTACAATTTTTCTTTCAAAACCACTCCGATCACTAAAAGCAAGCATTCACACAATCACGGACATCACCAAATTTCAAGGCAAAGTAAAAGTTATCGATCAACAGCTCGATTTCTCTTCTATAAAATATTAAACTCGCTCCATCCGCATTCCAACCTTCGCAAAAAAAAAAAGGATAAAACTATCCTGTAAAAAAAACTTCCAAAAGATAAAACCCACAAGTCAAAAACACACTGTCCAATCAATGGAACTGAGATCTGTCAACCTCGATTAGAGTTTAAAAAAAAAGAAAGCCCCAGGCTTGAGTCAAGTCTGCAAGTAATATGTGCCCGCTGATTTTTTGTATACACAAAAAAAGGGAGGTGAACAGTGGAAATCCGGTCTCCAAGGGGTGGAAGTTGTCCAGGATTGAGGAAAAAAAAGGGGGAACTCTAAGCGGCGGCGGCGGCAGCAGCGGGAGCAGCAGCGGCAGGAGCAGCAGCGGCGGCTGCGGCTTTACCCTTACCCTTGCCCTTTCCCTTGCCCTTTCCCTTGCCCTTTCCCTTCTTGGGTTCAGGGGCGCGAGCTACAATGTCCTCGAGCTCAGACTCGACATCGCGGGCCTCAAGGTCTTCATCGGACTCGGATTCGACGTCGCGGGCGTTCTTCTTTCCCTTGCCCTTGGCCTTTCCCTTGCCGCCCTGGTGGTGGGGAGAGCGGGCCTCAATGTCCTCGAGCTCAGATTCGACGTCGCGAGCGTTCTTCTTTCCCTTGCCCTTGGCTTTGCCCTTGCCGCCTTGGTGGTGGGGTTCAGGAGAGGCGTCACGGGCTTCGAGATCTTCGTCCTCAGACTCAACATCGCGGGCGTTCTTCTTGCCCTTGCCCTTAGCCTTTCCCTTGCCACCCTGGTGGTGGGGGGAGCGGGTTTCGAGGTCTTCGTCGTCGGATTCAACATCGCGGGCGTTCTTCTTGCCCTTGCCCTTAGCCTTTCCCTTGCCACCCTGGTGGTGGGGAGAGCGGGCTTCGAGGTCTTCATGGTCGTGGTCCTCGGAGTCGACGTCGCGAGCGTTCTTCTTGCCCTTGCCCTTTGCCTTGCCCTTGCCACCCTGGTGGTGGGGAGAGCGGGTTTCGAGGTCTTCGTCGTCGGATTCAACATCGCGGGCGTTCTTCTTGCCCTTGCCCTTAGCCTTTCCCTTGCCACCCTGGTGGTGGGGAGAGCGGGCTTCGAGGTCTTCATGGTCGTGGTCCTCGGAGTCGACGTCGCGAGCGTTCTTCTTGCCCTTGCCCTTGGCTTTGCCCTTACCGCCCTGGTGGTGAGGGTCGCGGGCTACAATGTCCTCGAGCTCGGAGTCGACATCGCGGGCGTTCTTCTTGCCCTTGCCCTTAGCTTTGCCCTTGCCACCCTGGTGGTGGGGCTCAGGGTCGCGGGTCTCGACCTGAGCGTATTCTTGACGGGCGTTCTTCTTGCCCTTACCCTTACCCTTGCCACCCTGGTGGTGGGGGTCGCGGGCTACGATGTCTTCGAGCTCAGACTCGACATCACGGGCGTTCTTCTTTCCCTTGCCCTTGGCTTTGCCCTTGCCACCCTGGTGATGGCGGGCTTCAAGGTCACGAGCTGAGAGAGCAGCTACAAGGTTGGATGCTTGAACGGCTTCATTTTCCTGTGGAATTGTTAGTCAGTGTTGCAGTGCACAAAGGATCACTACCACATACTGGCATGCGTGCCTTGACGGCATTGTCAACGACTTGTCGGTTTGGTACAACGTAAGCTGAGGCAGTGGCACCGAGGGCCAAAAGAGTGATAGTGGAAAATCTCATATTGAAAAGGATAGAAAGTTGTCTGTGTCTGACTGTGTTTGGAAGAGAAATTGAATGAAAGGATCTGCCTGCAGAGACGAAGAGAATGTGTCGAAATGGAGCAAGTGATGAGAAGGAATGAGCACGTTCAACGTTGATGCTCTTTTTTCTCGGCAAGGTGGGGATGGTTTTATACAAGAAAGCCCACGATGGATTTGCTGGATAGACAGGCTTTGACAGACGTACATGTGCGGGTCCGGGCCATGAGACAGCCCTGCATTGCTTGACGGACAGAAGCGGACAGGCCGGTGGTGGCTCCGCCAATCTACAGTTCATCAAGACGACATGGTAGTATGCAGGCCAGGTAGCGGGTAGTCAAACATGGCGACTCGTGACAGGTTGTCCTGTCCACCACTGACGCCATTGACAAGTGGATCAAGCATTGCCAAAGCTTAGCTGGCATACCAAGGACACCAGACGATTGGAACCGAATTCATGCTAGATTGATAGTACGATCTAGCCTATTTCCAACCTTTCAAGGTTGAGAGCCAATCACGGTCGTTTCGATACTTCGGCGTGACAGGTTCTAGGGCCAACGGGGGTGGAGGCCAGACTCATGCCATGTCGCTTCTGTCAATCTAATAGCGGCAGCGCGTGCGACGCTCTGCGGCATTTTGCCCCCAACCGGATTATTCGGCGAGGCTGTGTAGTGGTGAGGGTGGGAGGAAGGTGGTAGGCCACGCGAGAATACCAGCACTGCGGTTGTTCCAAGTGCGTGTCAAAGTCGAACGGGCAAGCACATGTTTTACCTAGCGGCGCCAAGTCTGAAACGCTGGTGTGGTTATGAACATTCACTCTTGGCTAAGCGACTGTATGGAACACCGAGACACGGCTTAGCCAACCAAGAGGCTGAGACGCCTCCGCTTTGCTTGTCTCACAATGCTTGGAAAAAGCTTGATTGCTGTTTTACCATGCGCCTAAAAGCTTAGCATACGGTTTGACAATGCGCTCGACGCGGCGTGCAAGGCTATTGTTGCCTGCTCCAGAAGACGGCGTCTGGTAGGCTATCTTGCACCAACAGACGGAACAAGACGGCGGAGTTGTTCCATGTCCTCCGCGTTTTACAGATCTAACTAGTGATACATTGAGCATTAGGAGGATTCGTGGCTGAGAATGGCTGTGTAAAGTAGAGTCCCGCCTACTCCCTTTCTTTTCGCCAACACACGTCACACTTGATTTTGTCCTTTGTCACACTGCTGAGCAGGTACTTTCCTTCTATCGCAGGTCGATTAATTTTATTTGTGGCATTTTTTTGTTATTTCTGTCTGATTCGTTACTTTCACTATCTACTCCAAACTATATTCACCATGGAAAAATACGCAGACAACCACTCGCAAGATGCTGACTCTGAAAGCGCAACTCTCATAGCCTCGGAGTCTCTCCGTGACGAGACATCACAACGGCGCCAAAACTTTGTGTGGCTCACACTTCTCAACCTCTTCATCTTTGTCATATCCATGCTCTCCATGGTATGCACTGTGATGACGCAACGGGATCCCTCCGGCAATACAGCCGCCCAACTCATGGACCAATTCGGTATTTTCTGTATGACAACACCCGAATTTCCGAACTACTCAGCCTAGTATCAAAGTAACTAACATGCCTCCCAAGCACCGTTAATGCACCAAGTCGAATATACCCACACTCAATTCTCCTTTGCCTCCCCCCTGAACTCCTCAAAATACGTCGGCACAACCGACGAAGTCGACGACGCATGGATGGACATTGCATTCCGTAAGTCCCCATCCCCCCTGCAACCAAAACCCCCCAATCCAATCTAACATCGCAACCAGTCCCCGACCAAATGGTCTCCAAATCCGACTTCCCCAGACTAAACAAGCCCACCGACGCCGCCCAAGTCACCGACCCCAAAACCGGCGAAACAGGATACCGCGTCGGCCTAGAAGTCTTCCACCAACTCCACTGCCTAAATCTACTCCGCATGGCCACCTACCCCGAGCACTACACCAAAGTCTCCTGGAGCGACACCAACGACGACGCCGCCAAGGTCCGTGGACATCTAGGTACGTAAATCCCTTCCCCCCCCCTTGCCGAACTTACCCCGTATGCGACAAAAGCGTTGCTAATACGAAAACAAATATAGATCACTGCATAGAAATCCTCCGTGTAAACCTCATGTGTCTCTCCGACGTCAACGTCTTCACATTCCATCCCAAAGAAGGCCTCGAGGGACACTGGCCTGACTACAATACTAACCATGTGTGTCGGAATTTCGACGCGATTAAGGAGTATGCGCGTGAGCATGGGATGCCGCAGGCGGATGTTTGAGATGAGCATGTGTACGAGTTTTTTTGAGGAAAGAAAGGGAAGGGGGGTTTGAGCGTTATTGGTGAAATATGCAGATTGGGTTAAGGAATAATGTAGATATAATATGTATAATATCTTTTCTGAATGTTGGATGAGCATGGTGTTATGTGGATGTGACTGCGTCGATGGGGGGGGGGGGGGGGGGGGCTTAATCTGTGATCTGAAACGGTCAACATAAAGTTTCGATGCATGCAAGTCAGACGGATGATCGATACACACAGACAACCATGCAGCATTCATCTTTTTATATTGTTACACATTGCGGCTCATCGTATTGAATCCTCATGATGTCACATATGATACATGGGCGCTGCTATTGAGCGCAAACATCTGTCCCCGTAGCGACATATCGTGGGCCAGGTCATCCTCAAACTTGTTACAGCAGAGTTATCTCTGGATAATTTTCCTCCGCAACCCTCCTACTCCACCCCCCCCCAATTGACCAAAGTTCGTGAAAAGCGAGGAGTATACCTGTCCAGCGATGCAATGCATGTCCAAAGAAAAAAAAATTTCCCTTCAACTCCCAGGAGCGTAGACCATGGCCTGAAATCTTACACAATAACCTCACCGCAATCGACATAGTTTGGTCGCCATTTGCTGGTGTCGAGTTCGCCCTCTGTGCTGCTAGGTACTGTCACCTCGACGGGCTTGTACAGATACCACGCCTTCAATGCTGCTGCCGCTGCTCTTGTCCTTGCCTCGTTCAATGAGCTGCCTGCTCCCTCACCTAGCTTGTCCTTGCCACTGTATACACCTACAACAAACACCGGGTGCCTACTTAGACGACCAGTCTCGGAAATGAGTCGGGCAATTGGCGGCTCAAAGCCCTCTCGTGCGCACAGTGTTGAGAGATCCCGGGTGGGTGTGCGGAAATCGAATAGCGTGCTAATGTCAAGATGCCTGCTAAGGAAATGGTCGCGGAAAAAGCGCTTAACAAGAGGCGTGCCGAGGTGTTGGTGTAGTGCGCCAAAGAGGGCTCGGACAAATGACTGTGCTGCATCTTCCATGGGCACTCCTGTGTTTTGCAGGGAATGTGGGCTTGGTGCAGCACTATCCGAGCCAAATTCATCCGTCTTCATAATTTTGTGTGTTGTCGTGACGTTCCAGCTCCAGGGTGCTTGCCGCCTCAGAGCAGCTGGGATATCGTCGCCCGATCGTATCCGCTTGAATTGTAGCAAACCAGGGTCCACCTCACCACCGGGCTCGGCTGCGGCTTCAATACCCCATTCACGTGCAACGGTGGCTAGTGCTTTGGGACCAATGTATGCTTCTACTGCAGCAAAAACAACAGCCATTGGAAGCCGTGGGTAGTTGCATAGAATCCACTCGGAAGTATAGTAACCAAGCAAGTGGCGTCCGAGTATCGACAGTGAGGCATTGTTGAAGGCAGGATTAGGATCTGCCGAAGGATGTACAAGGGTTCGTGCGAGAGCCTGGAGGGGAAAGCGGGGAGGTAGTGATAGTCGACTTCGGAGGGCGTGGAGTTTTATCGAGTGCTCGGCGGCATGTGGGTGTGGGGAGGGAAGGCTCTCAAGTGGGAGAGGCTGCGAGCCTGCGGGCCGCGACTTTGATGCTGAAGAAGCAGGGGAATTCGCTGCTATTTCGATTTCCAGGTCGCCATCGTGTGGTATGGCAACGGTAGTTTGGAAGCGGGCGTGTGTGCGGTTGCTATGTGGTGCAATGCCTCTTTGAGCATTCTTCGCCGCGGCATATGGGCACGAGGGTCGGCGGGGGATTGGTTGGGCCAGCAATTGCGAGGCACATCTTGATATGGGTATGCGCTTCATGGGGAAACGGCGCAGAATCAGCGGACAGAGGGTGGGAGCAAGGCGGAGTCGGCGGCAGCAGCAATTGGTCGCTCGTGTCGTCTTCTTGTCGGACGATGATGGCGATGCCAAAGAATTTCCGCCAAGCCCGCGTACACGAGGCCCGTGCTAGCCCTATGCATGCGACAGCGACCTCATACCAGCTCCGACTCCAGCAACCCCACGAAGTCCCGCACATTCACAACCACAATGGGCGGCGGAGGAAAGATCCCGTACGATATTAGACGGCCCCATTGATTGCTGCTCCGACACTAAGCATTGAGCAGATACCCCAAGCACGTCTGGTCGCCGGCCGGTGGCTGGTACGCCCAACCCGCAAACTGGAAAGCCAACACGGCTGTTGTAGGCCTCGCCCTCGGCAGCATCGTCGGCATGGCCTGGATGCTCAGCGCGAACCGTGAATACCGCGACAAGATGCCCGAACGCCACAGGTTCTTCCCCAGCCGATAGTACGCCTCGCGTCCTCCACCCCGCGCGACACGCCCACCGCTAACCATTGCACAGCTGGAGCAAGCAGATCAGAGAGCACGAGCGGAAACAGGACCAAAGCTTGATTGAGAAGACTTTTGGAAATTAGCGGATGTATCAGGGACTGGGAGAACTGAGGGTGTTGCAGCAACAAAGGCTATGGCTGTATATAACTAGCCAACCGCTGCTTGAAATCTGAAAGCCTATCTTCGACACAAACACCGTTCCATGTCTCTCCCTGGGCCGAGTGAGAGAGCACAGGCATGCCGACTTGTTCAATGGCAAAGCTGGCTGATATTGACCCCCACATTGCACCATTCTCCACATTCTCCATGACTG